TGTTACATTGTAATCATTTATAATTAATGTCCCAAAGGTGCTTCCCCCCCCCCCCCCCCAAAGGAGCCACTGGCGTTTTGTGGTTTTCCTTTGAAAAGCAAAACCACGTTTTGCTTCTCATCCAAGAAGCTTCTTCAGCTCTGAGTTGCCTCTTGAAAAAGCACTTGTGGTATAACTGACCTGGATGACTGAGAATCTCCACACACTTTTGAGCCTTTATAATTAATATAACACAATGTAACACAGATTTACAGAAATATGAAATGTACATGAGAACAGTGTGCGGTCAGGATGTCGTCCCCAAAGACAGGTGGCGTTGATACTTCACTGATATAACTAGGAGTGGAAAACGAAATAGGATATGCAAGGCTTAAAGGTAAATGTTCCCCTTGCACATGTGTGCTAATCGTTCCCACTCTAGGGGGCGGTGCTCATCTCCGTTTCAAAGCCGAAAAGCCAGCGCTGTCCGAAGATGTCTCCGTGGTCACGTGGCCAGCATGACTAAATGCCGAAAGAGCACAGAACACTGTTACCTTCCCACCAAAGGTGGTTCCTATTTTTCTACTTGCATTTTTACATGCTTTCGAAGTGCTAGGTTGACAGAAGCTGGGACAATAACGGGAACTCACTGCATGATGCGGCGCCAGGGATTTGAACCGCCAAACTGCTGACCGTTCTGATCGACAAGCTCAGCATCTTGGCCACTGAGCCACCGTGTCCCTATGCTTATGGAGGGTAATTTCAACAAAGGGCAGCCTAAAGAAAAAATTCCCCTGCAATTCATCCTTTATTATTATTTTTTAAAAAAATTCTCCTGCATAGGCTAAAATGTGGGAATAGAAGTTCAAAACTAAACCAGAGCTAGAACAGGAAGGGTTTTTCTCAAGCTTGAAGAATGCTTGCGAAGGGAATTCGCAGGATCGCCAAAGATTTTGTGCTTGTTTTACAGGAAAACGGTGCTATTTCCCTGCTCCTTTCCCCCATTTTAAATCCCATCGTTACCCAAGGAATGTGGATCATGGGGCGCCAGTAGATTTCTGTATCTGCTCCTTCAGAATGAGGATGCTCTGCCTTTGTTCCGGAGGCAGCATGGCGATCTGGTCGGCTGTCAGCTGGAGAACTTGCATAATGAGGGCCGCCTGTGAAGAAGTGGAACAGAGGAAAAAATGACGAACCAGGCATGGGAAGCCACCTTGATGGATTCTGCTTTTCTAGTGGAGACTTCATGATCTTCATTTGGAATGAATGCAGTACTGCAGGGCTAACTCACTGCTCACTGCCAGGAGTTCGACTCCGACCAGCTCAAGGTCAACTTGGCCTTCCATCCTTCCGAGGTTGGTCGAAGGAGGAGCCAGTTTGTTGGGGGCAAGATGCTGACTTAGAGACAGCTTAGAGTGGGCTGTAAAGCACTGTGGAGGGGTATTTAAGTCTATGTGCTATAGTATTGGCCTTCCTTCCTTCCTTCCTTCCTTCCTTCCTTCCTTCCTTCCTTCCTTCCTTCCTTCCTTCCTTCCTTCCTTCCTAGTNACACACACACACACACACACACACACGCTTGCCCTCTGTAGTTTGTATAAGGAAAAGTGTTATCCATGCTTTCTTGAACAAGCTAGAGCCAGTCTTGAAAAATCATAGCTTGTCTATTTAATTCCTAGTCTCTCCTTTGTCTTATCTTGTTGTTCTATGTCTTGGAAGTTAGATGGAAAAGTAAGCTACCAACAAGCTGGGAAGTCATAAACCAACTCTATTGTTAATGCCTGCACATTACACCAAGCCATAGCTGTTAATCTGTAAACAGAAAAAATCCTTCATTGACCTAATGAAACCATGGATTATCCACTCACCCAATTTGCCCGTCATCTCAAGCCAAACCCACCCACGTTGCTTAGTTCACCAGCCAGTTTTAATCTCTCCAGCTAACCATAGGTTGCCATTCTGTTCCTGTCCCTTAATAAAATAATTACGTCAAACCTGCCAAGATATGCAAATCCCACTTAATGTTGCTTCCAGAGCCCAGCAGTTTCCAAGAATGTTTATTCCAACTGATTTATGTTATTTTTATCCTTATCCTAGGTCTGTTGTGGGTGTGTTCTTGTGTGGACCAGAGCAGATGGCCAAAACGCTGAGAAAACACTGCAGTCAGCACTCTAGCCTGGATCCCAGAAATGTCCAGTTTTATTTCAACAAGGAGAACTTTTGAAACGCCAAGACCCAAAACAGAAGGGGGAAACTATTAAATGCCTCACTGAACTAAATAATGACTGTCAGAGCAGAGTTTGCAACTTTAACAAGCAATGGACACTCCTTTCAAGTTTGCATATTGTCAGGATAATTATTTTCTTTTTTAAAAAAAAGTTTAAATAGACAAAATGTAAACTTAAAAAAAAAATTGCCAGGACTCAAAGGGCACTGATGAATTGGCACATTGCACTGCCGTCTGACTATTATCGATAAAAGCCTGGCTTTCTCTCTTTCAGTGAATTGTGATGTGAGGATCAACTTTCAATTATTATTTTTTTATTGCTTTCTGGCAAAAAGTGCAAGCTTTCTCGTATCGACGACGGACAATTCGGGGAGAAATGTTCAAATAACGGAGCCTGAGAAGTGCTGTCTTTCCCAAAGCTGCAGTTAAAAAGAATGACACATTCAAACATTTGATTCTTGCTTCATCCAGGAAACGCCCATCTCCTATTTTGACCGGGGTGTACTTAAAATCCATGCTGATGTCACATCTTCAGAGCTATAATCAACTCAAATCTTCTATTCAACCAGAGAGTCAACATTTCCCAGATGTTGCCCTCATTTTGTTTTGTTTTGCAAGGGCTGCAGACTATATTCAAGCAATCACTTTGCTCGGAGTGCTGTGAATGGATTCCTCTTGTGTTGGGGAAATTGCAAGGGTGCGACATGACAGGTGCATAAACAGCCATCTGAAAAGGAATTATCCCGATGCTAATGTTAATGTTAAGGGCTGTAATGGATTCTGAGCAGCCTTTGAATGGTGCAGTGTCAGGAAAAGGTTTCTCTGCAATTCCCTTTCCTGTATTAGAATGCTACATCAGCGGAGTTATAATGCTTACTGGGAGTTTAACTGCTGCTGGTTTGCATGAACAGTCAATTCTGATTCCTCCATGTGGGCAATTCCTAGACACGCAATTGAAAATATGAATACAGCACAAAAACAGGACAGAATTACTTACAGACAGCTTCTTCCCTC